TACTGTGCTATAATATCGATTAGCATCAGGGTTATTAAAATGCTAGTGATGGGAAAGATGTAGGCAGATTCAGATTTCCATGAAACTTGCATGTTTTCTAACTTATGAATTTTCTAAGTAAACTTCAACCTGGTTGGACAAATGGGGACCTCATCCACTCCCTCACTTGCCCTAGTTCTCAGTATATCTACGTCTTATGTAATGACTGGGAGAGGTTTCAGAAGTGGAGCCATGTAAGTGGGTAACCACGATACCAGCCCTCCTCTCTCCTTTCCTCTCATCCTTGCTCAACATATACTTATTGTTTATTTTATGTGCATAGTACATTTTCTTACTTACACCCCCCTCCCCCATAAAAAGAACCATTCCCAAATTTCTGGTGGATTAAAATCAGGCATGCCATGCCTTAGAGTAGGAGACAGGAACCCTGCCTGCACCTTTCTCTCATGGTGGCCGTGGGTGAATTTGGTCCCGGGAATGAACCTGGCCAGGCCTGTGCACAGGATGTGCTTCATCCCAAGCCTACCAGTTCCTGCTCCTGCGGAGGCTGGCGCAGCGGCTATGTGGGCGCCGGTGCAGTTGCAGCAGAACCCCACCCTGTATCCACCAGCTGCCACCTTCTTCCCTCAAGATAAGAATCTCAAGAAACAAGCAATCAGACTTACCTTCTAGGAATGAAATTCAAGTTAAGGGACAAACAGAATTCGAATGTGGAGAAAAAGTTATGTGACTATGATGTGATCATTAGTAACAATTACAGCATTTGGGTGAGAAGTCAATCATTCATTTTTGGGCCATCTCTGGCTATTGAAGAATGTAAGACCCAAAGGGCCAGTTGAATACTACACGTCCACTCAGTGTAAATTTCCAAGAAAGCACGGCTGTATTATATGTGCTCTGGGGTCCCAGATGCCCCCTGTCCTGTGCCAACAGAAAAATGGGGAGTGACTTGGGTCTTGCCAATCTTTGAGGCACATCAAATTCAGAAGGTATTGATACATGAGATTTTCACAAATGAGGGTTGGAAAATATGAGCCAGTAGAAAAGGCTGTAGGAACTGGGCCAGATTTGCATGCCATGCCTGGTCCTTTGTTTCCCTGAGGCTGGAAGCTGCTGCTGTGTTGGGACCTGCAACCCCCTCTCTGTCTCCTACTTAACTGTGGCCTCTGCATAAATTAGCAATGCCTGTGACTGTTCCAGGAATGGGGACTTATCTCTTCTGCCCTTTCCTCAGAGTGTAGTCTTGTTGTGCCCAAAGTTGC